GCAGGGAGCCCGATGCGGGACTCGATCCCGGGACTCCAGGATCATGACCTGAGCGAAGGCAGTCGCTTAACCAACTGAGCCACCCAGGCGCCCTTATATGGCGATTTTTAACAAACGTGCCATGTTACTTAAATGGGAAAAAGATAGTCTTTTCAACAAGAGGTGAAGGAATAAGTGGTCCCATGGGAGAACAAATCAACCCTGACATTTATCTCCCCCTAATCACAAAATTAATATAGAAATAGATCATGGAACTAAATGTACGATCTAAAGCTATCCAATCTCTGTAAGTAAATATAGTTGAAAATCTTTGCAAACTTGGCCTTTCTTAGGACAAACATTTCTTAGGACACAAAAAGCATTAACAATAAACAAAATAAATGGCACCCATGTTTTCTAAGCAATGTGCTCAACAAGAACATCATTACAAAAAATAAAGCAACAAAACAGACTGGAAGAAAATACTTGCAATAGATATAACCAGCAAAAGATTGTTTTGAATGTATCAGGAACTCCTAACCTCAGTAATGAGAGACAAGCCATTGTCAAGTGGCAAAAGATTTGAACAGACATTTTGCAAAAGAACCCATAACAGAGGCTAATGTGCATAAAAGAGCTACTTCACATAATTAATCAAAAAATGTAAATTATAATATTTATATTTTTATAATTCCAACTAGACAGCTAAAACTAAAAATAATATCAAATATACCAGGTGTTGGCAAAGATATAGAACAAATGGAACTCTCTCAATACATTGCTGGTGGGAGTGTAAAATGAAATCACCCTTGTGAAAATCAGTTTGGCACTTAAAAGTATCTCACATAGCACTTCTACCGGTAGTTATTTCCCCAAGAGATACATACCCCACGTCCACAGGAAGACTTATACGTGAATGCTCGTTATAACTTAATTCAAAAGAACCAAAAACTGAAAATAACCCAGATATTCATCAGTAGGTGCAACAGGTAGACAAATTGTGATAATACCATAAAATACTACTCAGCAATAAAAAAATGATTCACTGCTATGTGATAAATGAATTTTTTTAAATGCTGAGTGACAGAAGCTAAACACTGAAGGATGCATACTATCTAACTTCATTGACATAAAATTCTATAAAAATGAAAACTAACCTAAAGTGACAAAAAGCAAAAACAGTGGTTGCCTCAGGGAGAGGTGAATTGTAATCATTAACACCGGGCAAGAGGGAGCAAGCTGCTTTCCATATTGTATCAGTTTGTCCCAACTGCTGATAACATACCTCCACAAATGTAGCAATATAAAGCAACACTTACTTATGATCTCACAGTTGTAGGTCTTAGGTCCAGGTACCAAATGGCTTACTGGTTTTCTACTCCAGGTTTCACAAGGTTGAAATCAAGTTTTCGGCAGTGACGTGTTCTTTTCCGGAGGCTCTGAGGGTGAATTCACTTTCAAGCTCATTTAAGCTTTCAGAAAAATTCACTTCCAAGCATCTGTAGGAATGAAGTCCCATGTCCTTTTTGGAGGTCAGCAAAGGTCATTCTCAGCTTCTAAAAGCATTCCTTGCCTCATGGCCCCTTTCCTCCAGCTTCAAAACAACAAAGGCAAGTTGAGTCCTTCTCATATTTTCAGTCTCTCTGACCTTCCTTTGTGCCTCATGTCTCTTACTCTTCCGCCTTCCTTCTGCTTTTAAGGGCTTGGGTGATGCATTTGGGCCCACCTGATAATCGGGGATAATCTCCCTCAGCTGACTAGTAACCTTGATTACAACCGCTCAGCAAAGTCCCTTCACAGTGTTTGGCTAAATAACCAGGAGCTGGAATCTTGGGGTGGAGGGACTCTTCAGAATTCTGCCTAACACACATCTTGATTGGGGTAGTGGTTACACAGGTGTATTCATTTGCCAATGTGCTTCAGATTGTTCACTTAAAATGGATTAATTTCATTACATAGAACAGATCTTAGTAAATTTGATTTAAAATGTAAAAAAAAATCTACAGAATATTTATTGTGGTAAATGGAAATATAGAAGAAAGGCATGTGCTATGCTTTAGAAAAAATGAAACACTATTTATATAATGTCTTTAATAAAGTGTAGTGCATTTTGTATTTAATACACACACATGAGCACATACACATTTACATTCAATTAACTTAATAAGACGTTAATTCAGTTGTTTCTCAGATGACTCTTAGAAAACTTTTACCTGATTTGAGAGAAAAAAAAAACAGCAGCAAGAATAGCCAGATTAGAAATAAACTCTATCTCACATCCTTCTCGAGTAACTTATGCCACTTCTCCATAAGCTTGTATAAATAAATATAGATGCCATTCAAACTGACTAGATTAGTCCTTTTGAAATATGATGAGGGGGGGAACAAGGCTTTTCACAGGCTCAGAATAGTTTCTAGAGCAGTACTGTTCAATAGAAATGTAATGTAAGTCACATAAATGATTTTAAACATTTGAGTAGCCACATTATAAAGTTAGGAAAGACAGATGAAATTAATTTTAATAATGTGTTTTATTTAATATATCCAAAATATTATAATTTCAACATGTAACCAATGTATTTTACATTTAAAAAAATAAGTATTTGCAATTCTATGTCTTTAAAATACATGAAATCAAAGAGGGAGACAAACCATAGAGACTCTTAACTGTAGGAAACAAACTGAGGGTTGCTGGAGGGGAGGTGGGTGGGGAGAAAGGGTAACTGGGGTAATGGACATTAAGGAGGGCATGTGATGTGATATGCAACTGATGAATCACTGAACTCTACCCCTGAAACTAATACTCTATATGTTAATTAAATGAATTTAAATAAAATAAAATTTAGAAAGTAGTAAGCATGATGATTAATTTTATGTGTCAATTTGGAGGGTGTTTTTGGATGAAATTAACATTTAAACTCATGGACTTTGGTTAAAGCACGTGCCCTCCATACTATGGGTGGGCTTCATTCCATTGGTTGAAGGCCCGAATAGAAGGAAAAAAAACAAGCCTTCTCAAGAGGGCATTCTTCAGTAGACTGCCTTTGAACTTCATCTACATCATCAGTTCTCCTGCCTCCAGGTTACCAGCCTTCAGACTGGTATTACACTGGTTCTCCTGGGTCTCCAGCCTGCCAGCCACGTAATCATGGGAGCCAATTCCTTAAAATAAATCTTTCTCTCTATATATAGATATAGACAGGTAGCAGATATAGATTGAGATTTAAAGATATATGTATATACATACACATATACACATACATACATATATAGATAGATCTATCTATATCTATATAATTCAATATAAAATGAACCTTAAATATAAAGTTTCTTCAGAAAACAGAATCAATTGTCTATCTATCTATCTATCATCTATCTATCTACTGTTGATTCTATTTCACTGGAGAACCTTTATATTTTATACTTTCAGCACGTCTCAATTCAATTAACTCTTTTAGTTCCTTAGATGCCCCAGCTACATTTTAAGTGCTCGGTAGTCACAGGTGGTTAGTGGCTACCATAATAGTCTGGAGCAAGTATTGGCAAACTCTTTCAGTAAAGGGTCAGATGGTAAATATTTTAGGCTTTCTACTCGATATGATTTCTGCTGCAACTACTCAACTCTACTGCTGTAGCCAAGAAGCAGCATAGACAATATGTAAACAAATGGGTGTGGCTATCTTCCAATAAAACTTTATTTATAAACAGGCAGCAAACCAGATTTGTCTAGTCAGCTATTATTTGTCAACCCATACTCTAAAGGAATTGAAGCAATCTTCTGGCTCCATAATACTATGATTAAAGACAGATCTTACAGGGGCACCTGGGTGGCTCAGTTGGTTAAGCGGCTGCCTTCAGCTCAGGTCATGAACCCAGGGTCCTGGGATGGAGTCCTGCCTTGGGCTCCTTGCTCAGCAGGGTCTGCTTCTCCCTCTCCCTCTGTCCGTCCCCCCTGCTCATTCTCTCTTTCTTCTCTCTCTCTCTCAAATAAATAAACAAGATCTTTAAAAAAAGAGACAGCTTTTGCATTTCATTAAATTTGTTTGTCCTGAAGAGTATCCTTTCAAATGTCAATGCAGTTCTGTCAGCTTTACCTCTTTTTGTTGAATATCAAATAGATCAAAAGTTTACAAAGTCTAAAGAAATTCACTGATATATAGATAATTTAAGAGTACTTAAAATATTAATGTAGTCATGATATTAAGGGAAAAATTAGAACATTTTAGTATATTTTACTTCCTTTTTAGAAGTTTCCTATAAAGAATATTTACACCATAGCACATCCTCTTTCTTATCACTTTAGTTTTAGCATTCAAAAGATGTGACAAAAGCAGGCCTTCCTAGATTCACAAATCATTCTAAATAGAAGGTGGGAGGAGAGCAGACACAAATTACAGTGGACTTTGAAATCAGTATATCATCTGTAAGCATGTACTTCTTCATGTTCTAACTTGAAGACAGACTGACATTTTCATCACGCCCCCAGTGAAGGTGTGGATGCATGGGCACATGTGCATATTAGAGTTAGTTCCAGATGCATTAGCAAATTATTAATTAAAACGTTCTTTCCCAGTGTTATAAGTTCAACATGACTTTGGAAAGAATTGAGCCCAATGTCAACTGAGAAAGAATGTCAACTGAGAAAAATCCAAATGATTCTTTTATCTTCAGGGCCACTGTGAACTCTGCAATGTGCACTGGGAATTTGCTTTGAGATGACTTCTAGACAATGACCTTGACAAAATCAGGCAGTTTAGACAGAACTGTTACCATGATTATTTTGTCCGAATGGATGGTTAGGTCAAGTAATTAACTAATTAATCAGACATTCAATCACTCCTTAAGTCAATTAATTAACTTGATGCTTAAAAATGTGAAACATAGATGCTCCTAAGGATGACATAGTCATAAAATGTAGTCACTGCCCTCTAAGAGCTTTCTCTTGTTATCTGTTTGGCTCTCTTCCTCCCTTCCTTCCTTCTGGATGTCCCATATAGTTTATAATCCAGGATGTAATTAAGGTTCACACATTGTCTTTGGTTATTATGTAAAGGAGTCCACACTTTGATGAGCTACTTTAGACTTGTGCCTTATGACTTTGTGAAAGAATTCTTTTGATTTTTCCTCTAGATATGAGGCACTTTTGGTTTTCATGCCCGTGGAAATATAAATACTTTGACCTTTCTTCCATAGAAAAACATATGTGAAATATTTGGGAACCATTCTGCCTTCCCCCCCTTGTATTATTGCTGATCATCTATAAGGAGGTCTGTTTAAGGTTTTAACACAATTTGGAATATGCCCAAGTCTCATATCATACTGTGTGAGATTATAAATTCTAGCTGATAGGAATTGCTAAACTGTAATTTTCAGAGTTAGTCTGTTTTGGTTTTGACAGAGACTTACACTTTTGGCATTAAAGAGTGTTCTTTATCTTGTTCTTGTTCCCAGTGGGACCCTGAACAAGCTGAAGTCAGTATGTCAGTAGTTCCCAGGTTCCATAGTCAGAATATTATTTCTTAATCTCACCATCCATTCCCATCACTTGTGAGAACCTTCCTTTAATTAACTTCTTTGTGAATTAAATTTAATTAACTTTTTTATTTTCTATGATAATGCTGCCTCCTATGTTTAAACAAAACATACCTCCTGTAGCAGAAGCTACTGATGGCTCATGTCCCCACATGGCACCTCTGAATTTCACCTACACCTAAGCAGACAATGTCTATACCTGTGGACAGCTTCCCCTACAAGGCCTGTGTCTTTTTGTGGGCTTTGCTCTAGAACTATGAACGAGAGATGGTCAGTAATTGTGGCTACCCAGAATGACTAGATATCCAACACCTCCAGGAGTAATTGTCAACAAATGAGGGACTAGAGTTAGTGAATAAATGCCCCAGGTTCCCACCCATCATATGATAATACTGAAACACATTTAAAGACACCTTGAGAGCAACCCAGGAGGAAAGAGCCTTAATTGTCCACAATGGAGACTTGCTCATTAACATACCTTTTATTGATTTTCTTTCTCTCTTGATTTACTTTCCCTACTCCCTTACCTGTGCTTCCTGGGATCATATCACAAATAAACCACCTATCATGCCTGTCAATTTATCAGGATAGGCATGGGGGGAGGGGAACACTATCTGTGCTTACCTGATTCTGTGCACTCTCTACCACTATAGTGCTGAATGTCATCCGGGAGAGCACTAGACTATGATTCAGCTGCTGTTTACTTGTCTTCTTATATTTCTCACTGTACAAGACATAGAGGTACATACAAGAAAGAATTCTCTTTAGTTTTCTGAGGCAAGGTTGGAAATTACCTAATGGTATGATCTTTTGCATTGGGCAGAATATGTTCATATGCTTATCTCATCGATTCCTCATAATACTTTGGAAGGTCAGCATATTTAATCCAATTTATAGATGGAAATATTGAGACCTGGATTAAAGGACTATAAAAACCCAACTATGACATGGACTATGAAAAGCTGTATCAGTAAGAGTCCTTCTAACTTCAAAGTTAGTGGACACTACTGGACACTATTCAAAGTATGACATGGTTACCTAGAAACTGAAAATCCCAGGGGACACCTTATTTTCATTAGTATAACGACTGCTCTTATGTCATCCTGTCTTAAGAAAAAAATTAACAATTTTTTTTTTCTGATGTTCAATAGAGTGGTGATCACATAATCTCTCTTCTCCTCAATTTTAAAAAGCATGGGTTGGGGAAAAGGAAGGGAAGGACCTTAATGTAGATCTAATAGTTCATGTTTCAAGTATCAAAAGTAGACTCATTTCCAACCGTAAACAACTCTTTTCTCCTCACATTACTGCTGTCTTCACAGTCTACTGCATCAGATCTTGACCGCTTTGCCTGGCCTTTGAAGTTATCCTAAACATATTTTCTTCTACCTATTAGAACTTACTGTATTGCCACTTGGTCTCAACACACATCCATCCTAGAGTCGGACTAATTCTCTTACTGTCAAAATGAAAACCCTTCTTTCTGCTCAACCAATGCTTGCCTCCCTTCATTCAAATCCTACCCACACTTGATGGTCCAGCTGACCTTCCCTTTGCTCTGCACCAAAATATTCCCACTGCTCCCACCCTCAGAACCATCTTCCTTTCCTAAAATGTTTCCCATATATTTTGATTTTCAATCAATTCTGGGAAGGCAACAAAGTTTCCCAAGTCCTTAAAGGCAGCACTCTAAACAGTATATGATTGCACAAAATACACCTCAATTATTTATAGGCAAAGCAATGAGGAGAAGCTCCAAAGTGGAGGAACAATCTTATAATTCTGAGACTTTGTTTCTTTATCTGGCAGATGATTAACCAACTCTGTTCCTCATTCTGGGCCTTAAGTGAAGGAAAGTGCTAAAAAAAATTCCTCCAGGGACCCCAATTTAAAATGTATTATGTATCTCAATCACAGAAAAATATAAGAACTCACCCCTAAAGTACATAATATCCATTCTTCACCTGCAGTGTAAGAGAGTCACCTTACATTTCTGGGATTGAGTTATTTATTTATTTGTTTGTTTGTTTATTTATTTATTTATTAAGATTGTATTTATTTGACAGAGAGAGAGACAGCGAGAAAGAGAACACAAGCAGGGGGGGTGGGAGAGGAAGAAGCAGGCTTCCCGCCGAGCAGGGAGCCCAATGTGGGGCTCGGTCCCAGGACCCTAGGATCATGACCTGAGCCGAAGGCAGATGCTTAAAGACTGAGCCACCTAGGTGCCCCTGGGATTGGGTTTTGGATTTTCCATTGAGATGGATTCTATAGAAGACATTTGTGGCTTTATAGGAAAAGAATATTGTAATTGTCTCGCAAGCATTTGAGGCCAAAGGAGAGAGTGAGCGTTTGTGTAGTGTAAATAAGGGAAACTTCCCTGGAGCTGTTTAGGATGTGAGTCTGGCCCAATTTTAAGAGAGCTCCTGCTCTGCTGTGCAGCATCTCCAAGGAGCTGATCTAGAGAGCTATCTCGAAATAACTTGGAAGCAGTTCAGAGTTTGGATCAGCTCTGTAGGGAGGGCAGACAGAAAGAGAAATGGCCATTGTGCTGAAAGGATTACTGAAGAAGGCATTCAAAAAGAGAGGGGACAAGAGAGAAGAGTTGCTTCTTAGAAGAAGGAACAGGACATCTTGCAGCAGGGCGTCACTGCAGGTTTCTTTGCTGTGCTGTCTTCGCTTAGGGAAGGATTGTTGTCATTGAGATTGTCTCAGACATTCCACGTAAAACCACAAGCAACTGTACTATGCACAGCTCAGGAAAGGCTTAGCTGAGGGCCAGCTAGACTGATGGTAAAGTAATTCAATAGATGGAAGCCAAGAACTGTCAAATGAGGGAACAGCCTAAAAATAACAAGGCAAGACTTCACTCTGTAAAGGTAAAGGTTAAAAGACAACTCAACAACAAATTGTTAACTTGAGACTACTATGTCCCAGGCACTTGGTCAGATGATGGGATGAACGTGGTGAGAGTCGATCAGACCATGATATCCTGTTTTTCCAGGCATTCAAGTTCAAAGAATATCTGGTAGGAAAGGATGAAGACATTATCTAGTCTAGAGGCAAAAACCAGAGGTCTGAGATATGCACTGTTTATTTATAAAACTTGAATTTGAATGCTAAAAGCCTTTAGACCAGGTATGCACACTCCAGCTGCCCTTGTTCTAAGCCCTTCTTGTATTCTTGAGCCACTGACTTGCCTGAAATGCTTTCCTGCCTCTGAAAGCATTCCAGTTTGCAACTCCTGCATATCTGGTTTTACAGATGGCGAAACTGAGGATAAGAAGTTAAAGGACTTACCTCTGTCCCACCACTGAATAGAAGCACAGGCAGGACCAGGTCCAGAGATTCCTTTCTTTCAGTGAAACACACACACATCAGGGCTGTTAGCATCTGTCTGTGTAATCACAGAGAGTGAGTCAGGTCCCAGACAACTCTCTTGGGTTATTCAGAATGACATTTTTAGAATGAGTCTAGTCTATTGCTCTAGTCGTTGGCACCCTTCCCACCACTTCTGCTGCTTTTCCCCTTTTCCCAGGTGAGTGAGACAATGAAGCAATCTCAGACAGGCTTTGGAATGTTTGGGGCAAACATAAAACGACTGCTCCAAAAATCAATGACTGTTTCATCTCCATTGAAGAGAGGTGGCCTGGGCACTGGTGGCCATTCAGATCTGTTCCTTCTTTCCCACTTCTGTACTAAATTCCTTATCCTGGCTTCTTCTACTCTGAAGACTCAGGTCCCATGTGCTCTTCAGTCTCCATGTCTGGGTAATCACCCTTCTGTGGCCTAGAGATCACAGCCACTCTTCCCCCCACCAACACATCACCCAGAAGCTGTCAGCTCATAATGATTTTCAGTTGCAACTAACTGGGATGAGAGTATTGTTTTAACTGTTATTGAATAACTTAAATTAAGCAGGGCAGTAGAGAAGGCAGGTGGCAATGAAGATGGGAATTGTACTTCTGTTCAGAGGCATAAATTTAGGACTCCAGCAATTGTATTGTGATCTGAAAGCTGAGAATTTATGAGTTTTAAAATATATACACTAGGAAAACTTCTAGAATAGATTGCATTTTCTTTCTAATAGTAGGTTTAGTGTGTTCTCTACAGAAAAATGACAGGGCAATAAAAGAGGTCCTTGCTTTATGACACCAGAATATTTTAGATAAGACTCAGTACTGAGACTTAACTGATTTTCTGCTGGTGGAGAGCAACAGCAAAGCAGAGAGGAAAAGTGGAATGATGGTGTTATAGCCCCTGACCAACTTAGTTATAGTCTGAAAAACAAAAGAGAAGGAAACTAGCATTCTATGTGTTAGAAAAATCAACAGGACTTTCATCCATTCACTGTCAGCCATGTGCCCATCCTGGGCTAGGTGCTTTGGGACATTAAATAAAAATGACAATAAAACAGAAAAAAGACTGGTTCTGTATTATGTGTAATTTAGTTTGGAAAACAGGAAGGATGTTTAGAATCAAACACTAGGTTGTGTGGCTCAACTGGACTACAGGACAGTGAAGAAGGAAAAGGCCACGGGTTAGAGGAATCTGGGAAAGTTTTTTGCTCAAGATAGATATTGAGAGGAAATCTCAGAAAATGGAGAGAAGTGTGGAAGGGGTGGGGTCTCAGGAAATGAGGCCAGTATGACATAGCTGGGCAGGAACAATGGAAGGGGCACTCAGGAGACTCATTAGCCTAAAGCAGAAGGTCTGTGTTAAAATGTTGGTAGTATGTGACCACAAATGCCAGTCATGCAAGGACACAGCTGCCACAGGCTTTCTGAAGGTCTTCATCCTGACTTAATGATAAGGGTACTAGTCCTCTCTTGGCTAGAGGAAATAGGGCTAACTGCCTGATGAAGTAGGAAGCCAGCTGGGTAGAATACTTGGCCCAAATCTGTCCCCTGATCTGCCTGATGACCTCGAGGTTATTTGGTCAGAAACAAAGTCTTCCCTTCCAATGTGAGGAATGAGGTTTCAACTGCCAAGAACCTTACAAGAGGGGACACACAACTGCCAAGAACCTTATAAGAGGGGACACAGAGACAGTTATTGAATGGTAAGTGACTGATGGCCAAGGTTTTACCAAGAAGACAGTTTGGTGAGTGGTGGGACTGCCTGGAAATGATAGAAGAAGTGACACATTTTAGAGGTGGGGTGGTGTACAGTAAGAAATGGCACACAAAATAGAGGCCTCACAGTGTGGTAGAAAGAGCAAGGCTATGAGGTTCAGATACACCTAACTTTAAATCCTGAGTGCCAACTTTTGGGGAGGAGCAAGTGCTCAGCTTTCAAATAAAGACGGCAAAATTTATGTAAGAGAATCAGAGAGCATGTAAGTAAAACACCTGGCAAAATGCCTGGCTCAAGCAGGCACTGAATAAATAGTAATAATTATTAATTTAAAGAAAAATATGGGAACATCACAGAGGAACTTTAGCAACTTGACAATTCTGACAACTTTAGTGTTGATAAAAGAAGAACTAAGGCTTAGTTGAGAAATTATTTAAAAAACTCTTCTTGTTCTTTCCCCAATGCTTCCCAACCAGTATGGAATCATGTCAGGATGCCCTTCTTGTAGCTATGATATACATCTGTTGTTCTTCCTCCACCTAGGGTCCATTTCCTCTTTTTCTGGTAACTGCACCTCACCTATCCTTGGAGGAAGCATCCTACTCTACTCTGAATGCACAGAGTTTGTGCGGAGTTGAATCTAACTCTTGGCAGCAGGGTGGGCAGTTGATCAAGGCATAACAAGTCAGAACTGTCCATCCTCCTGGCCATTCCCCCATGCTACTCCCCACCCCAGGGACTGGAATGTGACTCACCAATCAGTCCACTCTGACTGGAGTCAAATGTCTTACAACTATTGGGAAAAAGAAGCTGCTAACTAATGAGAAGACCTGCTAGAGGATAGAGAGTAGAGAGAGAGTCCTGATATGAATATAGCAACTGTGCCAGGCACTGTTCTAAGTGCTGTGGATATCGGGGCACCTGGGTGGCTCAGTTGGTTAAGTGACTGCCTTCGGCTCAGGTCATGATCCTGGAGTCCCGGGATCGAGTCCCACGTCGGGCTCCCTGCTCAGCAGGGAGTCTGCTTCTCTCTCTGACCCTCCCCCCTCTCATGCTCTCTATCTCATTCTCTCTCTCAAATAAATAAATCTTTTAAAAAAAAATTTAAGTGCTGTGGATATCAACTTTATTTAATCCTTCCAAAAATTCTATGAGAAAGTTATTATTAATATCTCCATTTTAGAGGAAAGGAAATGGAGTCATTCACTGAAAGGGGTAAAAACTTGCTCCAAGTTACACAGCCAGTGGGTACCTACCACTACCGGGATTTAACCCCAGACTGTCTGGTTTCAAAGTCCTTGCCTTAACCAGTATACTATGCTGTCTTTTCAAGAGATATTTCAGATTCTGGATCCTCTATACTTTTCAGTTATGTGAGCCAATATAATTTCTTTTTTGGCTTAGGCCAGTTTGAGCTGGGATTTTGCCACTGGCACCCAAAGGAGTCCTAAGTAATTCAACTGCACAACAAATGTGCTGTCTGTCTTTTCCAGGGTCCCAGTGTTAGCCCAGACTCTGCTCTTCACTTGCTGAAGTTACTGTCCAAATGTATAAACCTTTCATTCAAAGTCTTCTGCATTCTTATACAAACCTGTGTTTGGATCTTACTTTTAATCCTCCTCTACAAAAATTTCCTCTTTGTCACCTATTAGTGATCTCTTTTTTTTTTTTTAAAGATTTTATTTATTTATTTGAGAGAGAGAATGAGATAGAGAGAGCATGAGAGGGGGGAGGGCCAGAGGGAGAAGCAGACTCTCTGCTGAGCAGGGAGCCCGATGCGGGACTCGATCCTGGGACTCCAGGATCATGACCTGAGCCGAAGGCAGTCGCTTAACCAACTGAGCCACCCAGGCGCCCAATTAGTGATCTCTTTTAACCTACAGCTGAGTTAATTACTTCTTGTAAGTCCATTGACCCTTCTGATCTCACGCTCACTCATTGCTAGGGAAGAAGTCTAAAGTAGTATTTTGCAATTTCTTAAAATCCATCTCTCATTCGATAAATGTAATAACGTCTCCCCTGTCTTTCTCCTCTTGCAAATGGAAGAGGCTGCAGCCTTTTCCCCACACCCCAGTGGTCCTTGTTAGCTTTCCAGCAGTAGTTGCAATATTTTAAACAAGGCTTTCTTGCAATCATTTCTTCCTCCTTTGTGTATTCTCCTCTTTTCAAAGTGTATTCGGTTGTGCTCCCAGCTGTGTAGGATTGTTTGGGTGCTGGTCTGTAGTGAAAGGATAAGAAGAATAATTGGCTAACACAAGGCCTGAGGGAAGGATTCCAATAGGAGAAAAAGCTAATCTTTGATGGGAGAAAGCTCCTGTTTCTTTCTGGGTTAGAAAAGGCAGCATTTTCAAATTGAAATCTCTAGGACTGAGACAGATTTCTTGAGAATGTTCGTGGTCCTCTGCTTGACAACACAGATTTCTTTGGGACTTTGTCCTGCCTCAAAGGCATTGAGAGCAATATGTTAACAACGGACACCTGAATTGCCTTCCCAACGCTGTGTGCTCTAAGTTGACCCCAAAATTGCTGAAGCAGGCTAAGCTTTTCCCCTAGGGTACTGGTTATACACTGGTAAGTTCTTAAGCTTCATTCACAGCTCCTCTGTTTTCCAATGACCCTGTTCCCTGCTTTTCCCAGTCAGGCTGATCTGCAAACATACAAACTTCAACCACAAACTATTTGCAGCTCCAAAGGAAGGAACAGTGCACCGAGGAAGAAACAAACCAACACTCACAACAACACAACCATAGGAGCCTGTAGACAGTTAGTTCTGCTCCCACCTCGGGAAGACCTGACTGTCCTCCTACCCCATCTCTAGAGAGGAACAGTTGTTTCAGATGAGTGAGAAGGATTACTTGGATTATTACAATGCTAAAATGGATTTTCTGTACAAGACAGGATAAATATCCTTCCTAAACACAGTCTCACTTCCAAAGAAGGAATTATGGCAAGACCCTTGCATCTTAAGAGCAGTGGTGGGAGTTTCTTTAGGAAACTTGATGTTGGTAAAGAACCCATTCGCCTGTGGTGAACCTGCCCTTTAGCAGTGCTCAATAGGCCACAGGGACTCAGTTAAACTGCAGCTAGAAATGACAGCCTTTAAGGACGAGGAGCTACTCAACTCCAACTTCAGACCTCATAAAGTGCTGAAATTCTTGGGGAAAAATGTGTGAAGTTATAAATAAACTTTATTCTATCCCCTAAAATATAGAATATAGATATCCCCTGAACATAAATAACTAATTTCTCCAGCAGTTTTTCTGTAACTGAGTGAATATATATCTTTATGAATTGTTTGAATAACCCTAATACACTGATGGGACTTTGTCTAGAACTCATATCACAGGAGTGAAAACAGACCTTATGTATCTTGAATGTTTCAGCTCTATTCTGAGTCATGAATCTTAAAAACATGTTTTTCTTTCAATTCCAATGATTTCTGTTGAACTGACCAACTGCATTCAGTTGATTATGAACTATTTAATCAGATTTTCTAATTCTCTGGTTCCATCACCACAAGAAAAGTAATTTTTGTTCTTTTCAGTTCACTGGGTGAGTACATGCCCAGTCACTTTCTGGAGACATCACTGTGTACTGCCATTTGGAGTTTTTGCCTCCAGGCTCCACTCCAGTTTCCTCTCCAGTTACTTTATCTTATTTCCCAGTTGCTTGGCCAAGTGAGGCTTCCAGGACACAATCTGTGCCAATCTTAAAGCACAGAGTTGCAGGTTAAAAAGTAATACATGTTGTTACTGTTTCAGTTCATAATATGGAAGTCATATACACTCCACTCCTCTTGACTATTGCTTCTTTGACTCAAATATTCTATGCGGTTCCTTTACCTATCTATTAATTCATCTTATATCCCAAATCCCAGTAATTAATAACAGGACAGCCTTTTCTTTTTTTTTTAAGATTTTATTTATTTATTTGACAGAGAGAGACACAGCGAGAGAGAGAACACAAGCAGGGGGAGTGGGAGAGAGAGAAGCAGGCTTCCCATCGAGCAGGGAGCCCAATGTGGGGCTCGATCCCAGGACCCTGGGATCATGACCTGAGCCGAAGGCAGACGCTTAACGACTGAGCCACCCTGGTGCCCCAGCCTTTTTGTTCTCCAATGAAAGAAGAATATTACCTATCTATACCTGGGAATTAGGTAATTAACCAATTTAATGTTTCTTTTTAAAAAATATTTTATTTATTTGAGAGAAAGAGAGGGAGAGAGCACAAGTGAGGGGGGGAGGAGCAAAGAGAGAGGGAGAGGCAGGCTTCCCGCTGAGCAGAGGGCCTGATGTGGGTCTCAATCCCAGGACCCTGGGATCGTGACCTGAGCCAAAGGCAGACACTTAACCTACTGAGCCCCCCAGGGGCCCCTAATTTAATGTTTCTTTTGGAGAACATCTTACCAAATCCCTTAGTCTTGTTTCTCCTCACTTCTCCTGAATTACATTCTACAATCCAACTCTATGAAAGAATTTTAATTGCTTGGAAAGAAATAGAGTATGACTCCTGGACTACTTTAAACAGTAGTTTTCCAGATATGAGAACTATATTAAATCATATTATTTACCACTTTGCCCAATTAAAAGATAGAGTGAAGGGGATGAAAAACATAAATGGAGACCTAGAGGGGGGTATATGCAATGCCATTGAGTTTTTAATATTTCCCCTGTAGAAAGGAAGTTAATAATTGGGAGTAATTCCTTCTGACTTTAAGGGGGTGTTATAACAGAGGTTAGATTTACTTAAGTCAAGAAAAACTTGAAAAAGCAGGAGTGTCACTCTTATAATCCTCATTCCTGGAATTGAATAAAGAACATTGAGAAATTTAATACATAAGTGAGTTAGCCTCACTTACACTAATTGTTTTCTAGTGTTAAGCAGTAATGATAGAGTCTATCTATAACCAGTTATAATCCATCTTTGTCAACCATGTTTATCTTATCTTTTTATTATAATGGGTGACCCTAGGCAATTTTCAATGCTTTGGGAAGGGGCTCCTTTTTCAACCCCAAATTACTTGCAACTCCAAAGGAAGGAACAATAGGTGAAGGTAGAAACAAACACACATGCACAACAACAATGTGACACAATGGGATTCATTCTGGAAAATAAATGCTCTCAACCTGCATTTAAAGACCTGTAGGATAACCCACTTTCTATATCATTGTGTTCTAAGGCCCAAGGATCTGAGTTTCTCCTCACAGTAAAGGTTTACCTCATGAGACTCTCTCTATCCTTCTCAGTGCTTCAGAGGAGTATTTTCAACATGCTTATCTTCTGGTTCACTAATGCTCTCTTCAGCTGTAACAAATCTGTTATTAAGCCTATCGAGTTCTTAAAGTTATTGTGTTTTTCAGTTATGGAATGGAATCAATTTCCATTCCCATTGTTTTTTTATAGATTCTAGTTCTTAGAAGAAAGCCTCCATTTGGTCATCTATTATTTTCAACATATGAATCACAATTTAATCATAATTTAAAGTCCATGTCTAATAACACTAATATCTGGGTCATCTATGGTTCTGTTTCTATTGTTTATTTTGTTTTCCTCTCCTGGTCCTGTTTTCGGTAATGAATTTTATGGAATGTTGAATTATGTATATGAAAAATTGTAGCACCTCAAAATGATATTTTTCTCTACAAGGAATTCATCCCATTCTCTGGCAGGCAGCTAAGAGACAGATTACCTCAATGTAGTCAGGGACTTGAGGCAGCTCTGTAGTAGTTGTAAGACTGGTTATAATATTGGTTCAATAGCATTCCTCAGGGACAGCCTTGCAGACAAAAAGAAAATGGTAAGATAAGTTTGGGAAAGCAAACATTGAGTACATTAATATTTTATATTTAATATGCTAGAGGTAAAATGTGCTGGTGATTGTATCTTTTCCCAGCTACCTTTAGTAACCAATGAGGTAGAAAATTCTAGGAAAGAGGAGTGTACATCTTGATGGTAATAATATGTGATGATATAGATTACACTTTAATAGTATTTATTTTATGTACAAGACACTGTTCTAAGTGATTTACACATATATATGAACTCATTTAATCTTCAAAATCATTCATATAGTATTTAGTAATAATTGCAACTATAGACATTGCTATCAATTATCAGGTATTTATTTTGTGATAGGCCAGGCTTTCTACCAGCAGTGCTTCTTTTAATCCTAATAATAAATGAATGAAATAAATGATTTTTGCCATGATGATACTGAGGTATAAAAGTTAAATGGATGTCCCAATATCACCTGATTAATGATCCCAATCTAGACGGGGAAAAACAAAACTAGTATTTTAAATCACCATACTAGAGCTAAACCTTAAGGGTTGTGTTAATGGGGGAAAAATGCTGTGAAACACCACTTAAATTCTCTGCTTTTTATGTTTTCTCATTTAAAGTTCCATAAAAGATTGATGACCAGCACCTAAGTAATATTGTTTTCTATGATAGTTATGGTTAAATAATAAATGTTATGGGATTGACATAGAATTAATCATAAGAAAATAGTAAAAACATTTCCCAAGAGTAGACTTTGCAATCTTTTACTCTGGCAAAATTGCAACTAAACTCCCAGAAGATAATAAATGTAATTAATTTCTAACATCAGTAAGCATAGCATTCCATTGAGAATGGCAACTTTGGGAGTGGAGAAATGAGTTTATAGCTATAGAAATGACAGCATAGTGTTCTTTGTGTTTATATCTGGGAAAAGTAAGCTGCTGTGCCCTCATCAACATACTTTGCCACCTACAGCCAGGTTAGGAAGAGCATAGTACTTTGGCTTAGAATATAAGTAATCCCTAAGCCTGCTGAGATCAGTTTTAGCTGAATTCTTATGTAGCTAAAAGCAGACATTAAGAGACTCCATAAATGCCCCAATACAAGCCAAGGTTGCCCCTCAAAATTATTTCTCAGAAAAGTTTCTGTTAGATTTTTTGTTCCCAGTTACCTGGTACCTTTCCAGGGAGAGAATTATGTATCTCTACCAGTTGCAGTGTGATTTTTTTTTTCTTTTTTTCTAAAGAGAGAGCCTAAAAGCAACACAGACCAGAAAGGAACACAGACAATATACAGTAACAGTCACCTTACAGGCAATATACTGGCACTAAATTCATATCTTTTAATAGTTACCCTGAATGTAAATGGGCTAAATGCCCCAATCAAAACACACAGGCTATCAGATTGGATAAAAAAAAACAAGACCCATCGATATGCTGTCTGCAATAGACTCATTTTAGACCCAAAGACACCTCCAGATTGAAAGTGAGGGGGTGGAAAACCATTTACCATGCTAATGGACACCAAAAGAAGGTGGGGTGGCAATCCTTATATCAGACCAATTAGATTTTAAACCAAAGACTGTAATAAGAGATGAGGAAGGACACTATATCCTACTTAAAGGGTCTATCCAACAAGAAGATCTAACAATTGTAAATATCTATGCCCCTAACATGGGAGTAGCCAATTATATAAGCCAATTAATAACAAAAGCAAAGAAACACATCTACCACAATACAATGATAGTGGGGGACTTTAACACCCCTCTCACTGAAATGGACAGATCATCTAAGCAAAAGACCAACAAGGAAATAAAGACCTTAAATGACACACTGGACCAAATGGACTTCACAGATATATTCAGAACATTCCATCCCAAAGCAACAGAATACACATTCTTCTCTAGTGCCCATGGAGCATTCTCCAGAATAGATCACATCCTCGGTCACAAATCAGGTCTCAACCAGTACCAAAAGACTGGGATCATTCAGTTGCTATGTGATTTGCAGTGCTTCACTATGGGATGAGCACACATCCTACCCCAGTGATGTTGGGTATGACAATGTGACTTTCTTTGATCCACAGAATATAGGTAATGTGATTGTTCAACATCTAAGCAAAAGCTCTAAGGGCTATTGAAGAAATCACTCTTGGGAATGCAGATCATTGGTAGGGACTACGCCTCCTGCCTGAATCTCAGATTAAAAAAAAGATTCGTGGTACAGAATTGCATGTAACTAACATATAACGTGAGTAAGAAATACACCCTGTTGTTGTAAACCATTGGGATTATAATGTTGTTTGTCACTGTAGCAAAACCTAGGAAAAATTGACTGATACAAAATTACTCTAGCCACAAGTGTTTATCAGTGTTCTCATTTACAGAGTGCTGTTTTAATTACCTAATTTGAAAGAACAGCTACTATTTAGTAAAAAAAACTATTTAATCAAACAAGGCTAATTTTGGATGTCCTTAGGGTTCTCTTCAGGGAATTGATTTAAAAGGAGGCACATAAAATTAACATAAACTTAGTAATTGTTCCTAGGGATGTGAAGTCACTATTGTAAATGTTAGATATCATTGTAAACTGGTATTTTGGATGATTTTGACTACTATAAACAGCAATATATTATTGATGATTTTGCAAAAATTAAGAAGATATACCCACAAAATTAAGGAGATAAATAGCAACAATTGTATATCATTAAGCAAACAGTTACTTCTCACTTAGAACATTTTTTAGTGGAAAATAAACCCAGCTCAGATTACAAAAAAATTCTATATCTCAAACAACTTAGAAAGCAAAGACTATGTTATAATCTGAAAATCTGCTTTGGGGATGATTCAAAAATTGACTCTATAATTATACTAATGTTGAAGATACATGTGTAAGAAATAGAATATTTTTCATGAAATGTGAGTAAAAACTATTTCTAAATTAATATATTCTTGTATGTAATGTGTGATTTAAAATAGTACATATAACTATATTAATAAATTAATCTTTATAGACACTGGCATATATTTTCATAGACAGTAGATATTTTCATCCATGTCTATAACAGTTTTTTAACCACACTTTACCAACTTGAGCATGTGAATTATAAGAGACATGGATGAAAATAATGGACAAAAAAGTTTTACTAGGAAAATAAGCAAATATTGGGAGCCATATTTTATCTAAGAGAAAGAGTATATAACTCAGTTAAGGACAATCTTTTATTTTTAGCAACATGGAATCTTTGATGATGCTAGTCCTGTATTTCACCATGCCCCAACTGGTCCTATCAAAGACTTTCTTTTAATTTTTGGGGGGGGGGTCAGAGGGAGAGGGAGAGAGAATCTCAAGCAAGCTCCATGCCCAGCACAGAATCTGACATGGGGCTCCATCTCACAACACTGAGCTCATGACCCAAGTTCGATATCTAACTGACTGAGCCACCCAGGTACCCCTCACAGACCTTCTTTTAGAAGAGAAATGAACTATCTTATTTTCTACAATACACATTCCCTGTTTCTTAGACTGGGCCATCTTAATCCTTTATATTTCATTCCTGACTCTTTAATGTCATTAAATGTATCAACCAAAGCTTTGATTTTACTAGTTTTGAAAATTAGTGTTTTCTCTTGGGTGATGGGAGGTGTATGTATGGAGGGAAGGGGTGAGGTAAGGGGCCTGAACTAAAAGTATCTTTCTTGATAAATCAGCAAGTCATGATGGTGAGGACATTTTGAAATGATCTTTTTAGAGGACTTGGAGTACCAACATTCACTCTGGATTGTCTTGCTGGAGATTCTAAGGATTTATCTCAGACTGGGTGGCTTAAACTAGAGGAAATGTACTTTAGGAGAAGATGATGGATCATAGAACAAAATCAAGAATTTTGGGTAAGGAATAGAATTTTCTGAAGAATGATTAGAGATTTATGTGTGGAAATTTGAATGCCTAAGGACAGAGTAGAAAATTTAAAAACCCGGTTGAACCTATTTTGATATACTTTATAAATTGTTTGCCTTATTGGAAACTGTGGCAAAGTAAAGATGACCACAAATTTTTAACCCTTCTCCCACTGAGATATGGGATCCACAGTTTCTCCTTTTGAGTCTGGTGATCCGTGTGATGCTCTGACCTATGGAATATTATGGATGTGGTCCTGTGTGTCAAATGCTAGATCTAGAACTTAAGTGACTGGCAGCTTTCACTTTGTCTCTTGGAATGCTTGATACAGGAGAAGCTACCTGCCCTGTAAGAAAGCTGAATTCCTTGAGATTCTCATGTTGTAAGAAGCTCAAGCTAGCCATGTGTAGAAATGCTTCATGAGACTCCAGCTATTGCAGCCATCCTAGCCCAAGTGCCGTGCCGCACATACGAGTGAAGAACATTTCAGGTGACTCCAGTCTCAGCTACCATCTGACTACAAACATATGAAGGACACCAAGTGAGAGTCCTCCTGATAAACTCATCAACCCTAGACTTTGAGACATAGTAAAAAATAATTCAATAAACAGTACAATCTTCATGTTGCTTAATTCAGAAACATGGGAATCGTGCTTGACCCCTTCCTCATCCTTACTGCCCACAAGGTATTCAAATCTCAATGCCTGAGCATAATAGGATATATATTTATATATACATTTTATATACATACACACATACATATATGTGTATATACATATGAATATATACATATGTATGTGTATATAGAATGAATAAATGGAATCTTGAACTATTTCTCAAGGGAACAGACAATATAGTTTCACAAATTTGGAAATCATTTATGTTGCTTAGATGAAACCAGATTCTAGGATGTATCCTACAAATTTTGTGTGTGTTTAAAGGGTATTCTGAAGCCTGGAATTTAAGGGGTATTCTGAAGCCTCCATATTTTCTTTTATCTTTTCCTTTAGATTTTCTCACAACTTTTGTAACTGCACAAATAAAATTGTGTGGTAGTGTGTTAGGGGAAGTGCTCCATTTTTTTGTAATT